GTAACTGCAACTATAAAATATTTCCATGTACAAACCTCTCGAGGGTTTGCTTAGCAGTTAAGCTGAAATCTTTCAAATCGTCTAAATCGAACTATACGGAGGATTTCCCCTTTTCTCTTCATGTTCAAGGAATTTGCTTAAGTCGAATTGTGATAGCACAAAATCAGTCTCCACGTCAATTTTTTTGATATATGGATGGAAAATGAAAAAAATATTGTGTCACGTGATCAATACTTGGGTCTACTCGAAAATCACATTATTGTAATCAATCTGAATAAAATCCGATGTTGTGATACGCTACACTCCCTCGAGAGAATCGTAGCGAAAACTAACAGCTGATTTTAATGAGATTGTACTGTTTAAATGAGCATGAAATTAAAGAACGAACAAAAAGAAATTGATTTCCAAAATACGTGGATCAAATACGAGACAAATCAGTTATTTTTCATTACATGTCATTCCCCATAAAGGCAAACAGTTTGTTTTTATATTTATATATTTTGTTCTTTATTTTATTGGTTTTTTAATTACAATATTTATACATGTTGTATTTATGTTTGTCTGATTACTCTTTCTTTTGCATACGTCCTACGGCGTTGAATTTCTAAATGTCTTAAAACTGTTATTCACATTTTTGTTGTTGATTTTGTTTTTTTTTGTTTTTGTTTGGGGGGGGGGGGTGTATGAGCTGGGGAAGGGGGTAATTTCCCCCCTCCCCCAACCTTCAAAATGGGGGAGGGAGGAGGCAAAACATATTTCTTTGTTTGGCTTTGTTTGTACGTATGTATGCTTTTTTCTTAGTGTGGAGGGGTATATATAAATACAGGGGTGTAGGAGCCGGGAAAGGGGACCATACCCGCATTACACATTTGCAAAGGTGAGGGGCAAAACTATAAGCCCCTCTCCCACTTTTGGCAATTTATTTTGTTATTAAAATGTAAAATGGCTACGAAAGAGGACATTATCTTTTTTCTAGACTATTTTCATAGAAATTATATATTAAAGGTCTTTTTTTTTTGCTTGTCACTTTAAGAAGTCCCCTCCCCCCTTTTTTCAACTTTTCAATCTACTCCTACTTCACTGATATGTATCAAAGGAATAAGCAATAATTTTACTCGCACACAACTGATAGAATTGAGAAGCGCTAGTGTTAACGCATAATACCTAATTTATTAAAGACTAAATATCTCCAAACATCGTGGAACATTGACCGGTATGCACATTTTTTTGTGTTCAATCTTTTTAATTATGCAATCGTCTTGAATGCAAAATGTATTACTTTCTAATCTAAAACGTCGTACAAGTCAGATACAAAACAAAAGTAACAAAATAAACGGGATGGTAACAACCAGCCAGTTTTTTGTTACCTTTGTTCTGTATCTAATACTTATATGAGGACAGATATGTTTGGTTGACATGTTCACATGTAAAGCGGGTAAATTTGTGTTTTTATAACAGAAAATGCATCCTAAATATTTCATTTACTATTTGTCTTGATGGTAATACGTTTTATCGTTCGCGAAATGGAAAACAAGAACAATGTCCAAATGCTCCTTCTGTGAAGAGGAGTCTGATCAAGCGTATGTTATGTTTTATTACACATAAATAAAGCACCATCATACATGTAGCTTCCTTTTCATCAGAAATTAAAAGAAAAAAATGACAATGTGTCTTCTTTGTAAGGTGTATGCATATGATATACACATTTCGTTTTTTTTTTATTGTAATTTCGAAAGGATCGTATTAAAGTTTATAAATTATTTATTTCATTGTTTATTAAATTTATATATTTGATAGCTCCCCGGTGTTCTCAGTAGTCTGTACAAACCTTTCTGAAATTGTTAACCTCTAAGGGGGAGGGGGCTGGGAATAGAAATATAGTCACTTAGGTCCTCTTCCGACCGGCAGTAAAACCCTTGCCAAAGTGGGGCGTCCGTTTGGCAGTGCGAGATGCACAAGTACACAGCTACGCACGGTCAGAATGGGGCATTTGGAGAGAGTGCCACGCCTTAAATTACAGATATAACAAGTCCTTCCTATTGTATTTATTGTTAATGTGTTCTCGTTCTGAGCATGCATGAAATATTTGCCACTGGGCGTTAAGCAACCAACAATTAATCATGTAAAATTGTCCGTTTATGAATTTCAAAAAAATTGCGAAGTTGAACCTTAGATGGATTTGGCTATTTCTTAGGTCCCTTTTGGTCGTATAGCTCTTCAACTGTTTCGGGTCTTATACATTCCTAGCTTTCACAATTTCGGCTTTGAGCGTTGCGGATGAAGGTAAAACCAGAAAAGCGCTTCGGACGCATGATATTCATAAAGTGTTGTTTCCATTTTTTATTAGATATTTCATTCAATTCAAATCTTATTGTCAATGTGAAATAGAACATGAGCGGATTGAGTGTGTGTTTTTGTTTTTGTTTATTTTTTATTGTAATTTATTTTTTGGGGAGGCCTTTTTTAGAAAATTTTGGTGTGTTTTTATTGAAGTTTTGGGATTTTTTACTGCTATGAAATGAAATGAAATGATTAAGAGTCCCCTGTACTCGGTTCTAAAGACTGTTTCAAAAAGGACCCTGTGATTTCCTAGTTATCGTAATATTGCAAGGGTATTTTAAAATGTTTTCAGTACAGAAAATAAGCATTAAATCGAGCATGGTTAAATTTGATCAACATTGTAACATGTTTTTGTGATTTATTGGGAATATATAATACAGTAACTGTTCTTCACTAAATTACAGTTATAAACTACGAAAAAAAAACAGTTTTATATGCAAGGAATGCATTCTTTCTTATTCACATTTTCTTTGAAAAACCCAGACCGTTCGTTTAAAAACCTGGACGATTTAAATGTTGCTCTCGAAAAAACACGGACAATGTTAAACGCTGAATTTTAAGTGAAATTCAAGGAAATTGTGTGTAGTTTGTGCTCAAAATATGTATAGTGTACAGCATTAGATACACTGTTATGAGTAAAACTATTATACTTGCGAAATAGCAGCAAATCGATCTGATCGCATGTAATATCAATCGAAAAAACCTGATCTACACTTGAGAAAAGTGGACCGATTCACTCGAAAAACACGATCTCAGCAGGACACTACACCTACCGATGACCTGCACCAAAAAGATCGTTAGGTCTCTATTGTCGTTCATATTCGGATTATTTTACACAGCAAAGTGAAGTGTACATGTCAACTATACTTTAACCTATTATGGTTTATTTTTACAAATTTTGACTTGGATGGAGAGTTGTCTCATTGGCACTCATACCACATCTTCTTATATCTATAAATGTAATGTTTGATTTTTATGTACCTTATCATAGGCGGATCCAGGGGCCCTGGTGGGCCCCCCCCCCCCCCCTTTCGTGTGAAAAATTTGGTTTATTATATATGGAATCACTGAAGCATGACTGTAGCGGGCCCCCTCTTATGGCAGTCAGTGCCCCCACCCTCTTATAAAAAGTTCTGGATCCGCCACTGCTTATTACAAAAATTATATGTTACTCGAAAACAGCACTAAAAATATGTTATCCCTCGCCTCTGAATCTGGTCAACCCCTCAGATATAATGGTATACATATGAAATTGTCCAAAACAGGCAGTACCACCAAAAATTGCTAAAGGTGCACGATACACGTACATTCAGAATTATGCACTAAGAAATCAGATCAGAGATATAAGCCTTACGTAAAGTGAAAATACCAAAAAACTGATGATTCATCGGTTATTCAATTTGCTTGCATATGAGCCTTGAAGTGGATACTAATTATGATCATGTGTATCCTGTCAACCCCCAAAAAATAATAGTGTCTACTTCCGTTCCAATTGACCGATTTTTTTATCTATTCCTATAATGATAATAACAATTATGAAGAAATAACTGTATAGAGACATCTACCAGACTTTGACTCAGTATCATTATCTGCATAATTATACAAAAAATTTAATGAAAAAAAAAATAATTCATTCAAATTTTATTAACTGTCATGTTTAAAAGTACAGGCCAAGTACGGACTCCAATACCAACTTGTTGAATAAAAGCTTTGATTTGCAAAAATATAATTATGCTATGTTTCTGCTCAACGATAATTATGTTAATGAAAACAGTCTAAATGATTTATACATATAAAGCAAATGAATATTAGAACTGCAACGTTGCGTCCATATGTTTCTTTAGAATGGTTTAGCTTCGAGTAAATCCATCAAAATTGCCGAGCAATATCGACTAAAACGGCGATGAATAATTATAAACAAACAACTCGTTGCTTCAAGAATTTTAACATCTTACCCTGTTCTGACATATAGTCTTATCTTTCTCAACTTTTGAGAGCCATTGTCCACTTAAATAAGATCATTTCTTTTATTTGTAATTGAATGTTCAATTACTTGTGCTGTTACTATACAGTCGCTTGGTTGAATTCATAAAATATCTTGCATGTGTATGTTGTTGTTTGTACTGTAATATTGATCCAAATGAATAAAAAAGAACACTTCAGAAATATTCGGCTTTTAAGCTACCACACATTAAAAATCTGTAAGATAAATTACAGTACCCATATCAAAGGCAGTATCGAAAATAGAACATAAATATAAGAACAAGGAGATGTGGTTTGATTGCCATCTTGCTTACAACCTATATTATACTAGAAAGGCATAAAAAAAATCCTTCTTGGTTGAACACATTTCCGAACAATTGAGTATTTTCGCTAAAAAGGGAAAAGAAAGGTAGACTGATCCATGGCTACAGAAAAAAGACGAGAATACAAACAACATTCCACAAGACTTGTTTGATATCGAAGTATTATATACACGATATTTCACATTGGAAACCGTTAAACTGTTACTGAATGGCGTTGAATTATTCAGGTTCTGAAGTGCTTAAAATCTTATGTGTCTATACATCTAGCTTTAAAGTATTCTCAATTTACATATTTTCGCAGATTGAATAAATTGTAACTATTTTATGCAAGGTAATAACTTTTTTAATAATTAACAGCCAATCTTCTTTCGGTGCAAGCCTTTAAATACCTACAAATCAAATGTACACAATTAATACAATTATAAGAATCTTTGTAGGGTCATAAAAAAAATTAAATAGCCACAAATAAAAAAGGGGTGTCAAAATCATTTATAAATTTTGTTTGCCTTATTTGCTGAAAATTTCGATGCAAATGATTATGATATTTCATAATTCTAAATATTGAAGACTTATAAAAATATGAAAATAACATGATAATATGATAGTATTATAAATTACCTTCTGATATTAACAACTGTTCAACAGCTGCTTTAGCTTTATCTAATGAGGATCGATTGTTTGCCATGGCTATTCTAAATTTGTCCAGTGCATTTTCTGAAGAAAAAAATGAGAATAAGCAAGTCAGATTCCATTACCATTCTTGAGCTCTAAAACACAAAAATGTTAAATTCAAAAGTTACAGAGCATGAAGTAAAGTAATCTATATGCATGTCTCATATAAAAATTAACAATTTTTGTGGAACTCTTTTATCTACTAATGAATGTTGGGTCGTTGAAATAAAAACATACCTATATAGTCTCGAAGATTACAAAGTTCGCTTGCTATCTGTGGTGCTTCAATGCTGGCTACCAGAACACTTTCCGGTATGTTGACGTATTGTTTGGACTGGTCAAGCCAATCTACTTTGAAAGATGTAAACTGGGTGTGAATCTTTTCAAGTTCATTGTTGTGGCTTTCAATATCCGTGACTAAATAATCTTTTTTTCTCAAAGGCATTTCAATCCCTGAATTTTTGCTTCAAGAGTCTGAAAAAAATTACATAAGGATTGTCAAAAGTTGATTTTCAATTTAATAGATTAAAGAAATTTAAAATTGAAGAGTCTATCTACACGAATAGTTATTGGCATCGTGCTTATTTAACAGAGGAGAGTATCACTCTATGGAAAGTGCAAATCGAGAAATCCGTTTCTTATGTGGAGAAGCGATATTCTCTTGTGTAAATGAGATGAATTAAGGGGAATTCTCAGACAAATGTTGACATTTGTAGGATTAAAAGAAAATTCATCGGAAAGTACTTGTTTATTCTTTTTAAAACATAGACGTATTTAAAAGGACAAACGTATACACAACTTGCCATGTATTTTGAATATTTTATCCGAAGTATGTTGTATTTATACGAGTAAATATGCATTTGCATTAAATAAAACCTATTTGCACGATCTATAATGTTGAGGTGTCCAAATACTTTGACAATGATGTACTAAAGACAGTGGAATAGCCGTTAAACTTATTCGATTGCATTCTACGCCATACTCACTTGTAATAGGATAATAATGCTATTTTTTTTATATGAATGCGACGTTTTTCTAATAGAATAGCGATATGCTTTTATTATGAAAAACATTTCCAATCCGATATTTTTCTAATAGAAATGCGATACTTTTTTTCATTTGAAAAAAATAAGATAATATGGCACAATACATGAAAACAAAGTAGAAACATCGACAATTCATGACATGTTCGATGGTACAGGCGAAAAATCACTGAAATTTTGTAAAATCGATGAAGTACGTACATAATAAACCAAATATACGCTTATAAAGAAGTAGACGCGATGTTTAATATCCCCTGGGCGTCGATCAAATTTGGGTTTACAAATCAATATTCCACAGTATTTACCACCTTCCAACTTCCGCTGAAAAAAAAAATATCTGGCTAGTGTCAGTCTAGAATAATAAAGTGTTGACACAGATATATGTATCTTCTGCCATGTCTATATGTAATTTTAATAGTTAAATGCAGTTGTTGAAATTAAAAAATAAAAATACTTATCATGCATTTATTATGCAAAACATCCAAAGTCAATGAAACTTGACTGAAGTGGCAGGTCCAAATAATCTCCATAGAATTGAGAAATGATAATGCTGTTACAACTGCATACCAAATATCGTTGACCTATTGTCAATGGTTCTCCTTAAACTGACATAATCAAAAACTCTAACTATAAAAAGTAAAATAACAAAAATACTGAACTCCAAAGAAAATCCAAAACGGAAAATCCCTTATCAAATGGCAAAATGAAAAGCTCAAACACATCACACGAATGGAAAACAACTATCATATTCCTGACTTTGTAAGCGATGCAAAACTTGTGCAGTCAATGAACCGTCGTTCAGGGAACGAGGCCGTATTATCTCCATAAAAATATGCCTATGTTAATACAAATGCGTACCAAATATCCATTGACTTATCGTTAGTGGTCTCCCTTTAAAAAAAATTACCTTATTACAAATTAGAAAAAAATTGTTGCCGCCGCCGACGCCACCGGAAACAGCACGCCTCCATTACTTCGTAGAGGCGAGACAAAACATAGCTATACTAACAATTTTTCGTCCAGAAAATCTACATGTGATGTAATGTTATTGCAATTTTATCGAATTATGCATGGAGATTAAAAAAACAAAAAGCTGCATTCGATAGGTTAAAATGTGGAAAGTAAGAACATAATTTTGTAGTTGTTAACTAGGAATCGTTTTTCTTTTCAATTAATTAAAAAAGTTTTATTTTCCAGCGATCATCTATTTGACATGCCTGAAAACTCGTGTTTTAGAATTATGGTATTATGTAAACACATTTCTGAATAAACACTTTAAATGAACACAGGTCTTGAATCTAAACACTTTTAAATGTGTCAAGAATTAAAAGTTTTTATGACTTAAACACTAATTTCTAAGCTAAAGATGATCATAAACCACAATCCTAAACACTTTCTTCATTCTAAACATGTTATGAAATTAAACATGTTAAAAACTGTGCAAACGGTAAACATGTTTTTAGAATTGTGTTTAGGATTTTAACACCATTTATACAGTCTACATGTAGTAAGGATATCGGAAATGCACTCATGTATCAGGATATCGGCTTTCTCTATTGACTTGATTCACGTTTTGTTATGCCGAATCCTTTAATAGCTGGCTCTACGATGTGAGTGTTGCTCGTTGTTAAAAGCCGTACAGTGACCAATTATAGGTGTTCAAATCCTCATCCTTTGGTCTCTTGTGGAAAGTTGGCAATTGTACCACATATCTCCGTTAAAGTTTTTTTTTGTATTTTATCGAGAATGTGTATACTATATACGCCATGTATACTATCAACTACAAAAACTTTTAAATTTTATCGGCTTCTATGTCAATATTCTATCAACTACAAAAACTTTTTTGTTGGCGTCTTTTTAAAATTTACTATCCAGTACAACATCTTTTTTGTTGGCGTCTTTGTTAGGTTTATTTGTTTTTTTGTTTAAAAATTTTAGTTAGTTGTGATGTATGTTTACACAATTTTGACATCTTAATCATTGTCACTTTAACCCATTATGTATGTTTGGGTTGCTTACCAATTTTGTCAATATAACGGAACTATGAACAACTGTCATATAAGTGGGAGGTTGAACTAGCTATAAAAACATGTTTAACCCACCATTTTCTTCGGAAAATGTCTGTACCAAGTCAAAATATGTTGGGTCTTTTTTTCACTCGTTCTGTTGATTGACAGCTTTTGATTTTGTCAGTTTTTATGGACTTACCTTTTTTTAATTTACCTTAGAGCTCGGTATTTTTGTCATACTTTTATATTAAGTATGCAAGCCACTAAAACTTACTTGTCTATCATACACAGACAGAAAAACGACGACATTATTCTAACAATTCTCAATTTGAAATTCCATCCATATTTGCAAAGTCTTCTGCATCTTGTGTTCTGTAACTGAAAATTAAAATATTCATAAAACATAGTTATAACTTAGCTGGTTTTTTTTGCGACCGCGTAACAGGACTAAACATTCCAATGAAAACACGAAGTAAACTAATAGATTTCCTAAAATACAATCAAATCGTAATGAAAGTAAAGCTTTTTCCGTCAGTAAGTCTGTGTAATGTCTACATTTTGGGAATGTATTGCAATAAGTCATATTTATTTTTACAATTTTTTTGTTTTCTTAGATAATTAAGTTTATTTTCATATATTGCATCGTTTGAATATTGCACTACTTGATTACTAGTTCACATGTGAAGATTTATCATTGTTGTCAAATTTTGGTTCTGACTATATAGCCTAGCGATTTTTTTTTTGAAATGGATGCATGCTTGTGGATTTTACAAGATCATCGTGGACGGGGGGGAAATGCTGTCTTTATACTTTATTCTTGCACCAAACCTTTAAATGGGTTTTTATAGAAAAACATCAAGGTTAAAAACGTTGCATTTACCCAGTCTGTGGAGTCATCCAGTTTAATTTGACAATAGACATTGAGTAGTTTCCTCCATCTACACTGCATACTATTCTGTGTCCTGGTACATAGAGAAGCATTTCATCAATTTCTTTCGCTGAGTAAGAAAGGTGAGAAGAAAATTGCCAATATTATAATAGGGAAGTTGTGGATACATTTAAGAAATGACCAAAGAGCTACCAAATATAGCAAATACCCTAAATGTTAATTAAACATAAAGACATATATCCAAAGACAACCACTGACGATATCACTATGTCAGGGTTAAACTATCTTGTAGCATGCACTCAACTTGAGTTTCCACTTTTTGATAAACAAAAGTGTTGTATAAATGGCGATATAAAGGTAGTCTAACTGGTTGAGTTATGGGAGATCTTCTTTTGTTCTGTCGGTTAGAGCGCTGCCTTCAGATCCCCAGATTGGAGGTTCGAATCCCGCTGGTATCATCCATGTATTTTCACAATAAAATGTTTATAAAATCAAAGAATTGTTCATAAAATTTGTTAGCATGCAATTCTTTCGAGTTCATCAGACAACAACTTACACATAGTCTCGATCTAAAACACTACCTTATAAAAAAATGCTTTTAATTACTGAAAGTAATGTAAAAGTAATTCTTCTGTATAGAAAATACGATTTTTATATACCGCTGAACCTCAGATAATATTTATACAACTAGTATTGTATTCGGAAATGTTCTTATAAAAGAGAGGCGAAAGATACCAAAGGGACGTTCAAACTCCCTTCTGAAAGTCAGAAGCAATCAAAAAAGAAAAAGAGTCTAATAGTCTAAGTTTATAATTGTTTGCACACTTTTGAAATGGGGCAATTGCCCTCTCCTCCCCCAGGTTCATACAACCATTTTACCATGTTTTTTAAGTTTTTGAGATGTATAGTCATTCCTGACTAAATTTTCTGTTTGTCTAATGTCAAGTAGTTGTGCTCCACGAGATTGGCATAACCCAAGTTTATTTTATGTACGTCATTGCATGTTTTTATTTTAATTGGTTGAATGGTATTTGTTGTACCATTAATACTATCTAAGGTAAATCTGGCAAGAACTTACTCGCTGCTGTCCCCGTCTCAAATCCAGACTTCCGGTTTATCCAAAGACCTTTGATGCGATTACTACCTTTGTACCTTGGAGTAAGTCCACTACCCCTGCAAAAGTTCGGTGTTTACAAACCTGTGTCTATTAAACCTTGAAAGGCGAAGTCTTGTCCCTGTCCGTGTGAAAAAAACCTCGGCATTTCCCTTGTCTGTTTTGATCATAAGTGGTTGGGAATCTTAATCATGTTAAACATGTTAAATTTATACGGTAATTCTTCTTCTTCTTCTTCTTGTTTATAATTCAACACTCCATCAACATACTGATGATAACGTGCCGGGCACTGATGTCACTATGCCGCGCGTGCGTGGGATATATAATTTCAATATTTAAAGTTAAATATATACAAATAAAAGTTCAAAGCATTTTCTTTTTCTTCTGTTTTGTACTATACCTTGCTTCTGCTGCTTTGTGCTAGTTTTAGTAACTAACTAAATCTATATGTGCTTTTAATGTGCAAACCATTTTATTTTTGCGTTTGTGCTTTTATCTCACAAGTGCATGTTTCAGTGTGCGTTTAACTTGTAAGATGCTTTTAAGAACTTTTGTGCTGCATGTTTATATACTGATATGAACTCTTGCTTTATATGTTTAATTTATGTGTACATGACTTGATATGTATGTTTTGTTTTATTTGTTGCTCTGTCGGTTTTAAAAGCTCTTCAGAGCTTATGTTTTATAATTGTATTTGCACATACCGACTCTAAATAAAGCTGTATGTCTTATGTCTTATGTCTACTATACATTTTGGTTAAAACTATATACATCGTACTATTAATTTAAATGTGTAGGTGTTTGTTGAGAACAGATATTGGGATCTGTTCTTGGAAGCAGTCTAGTGTAGTACATTTTACTGCAGCTACAGGTAGAAGGTTCCATTGTAATATTGTTCTAGGATAAAATGAGTACTTGTATGAGAGACAACAACCTGACCAAAGAGCAGAAAACAGCAGAGGGCCACCAAAGGGGTCTTCAACACAGCTAGAAAATCCCGCACCCTGAGGAGGGCTTCAGCTGGCCCCTAAACAAAAATGTGTACTAGTTCAATGAAAATGGACGTCACACTAAACTCCAAAACATATAAATGAACTAAAATTAAAAATCATACAAGACTAACAAAGGTATTATCCCCATATAGAAGGTTTTCGTCACAACCTTTATATATCTATGTTGAACATTTGTTGAAAACACAAAGAAAAATGGCTTGGGAATCTTATTTAGGAACATACTATGCTGGAAACCCAAGGATTTCACGTAAAACTTTCTAATGATTTTTATGCCCCCGCCGTAGTGGAGGGGGCAAGTTTGCCTCAACCAAATGTTATGAATCTTAATACACAATGCTTATTACCACATAACACAAAAACACAGATCACGTTTAAAATTTGGGGGCGTCACGTTAATTGTTCTAGAGTTATGCCCCTTTACAACATGTACAAATGGAAAAATTACTGAATTTTTCGGTTCCATTCTCTTACTTACGTTTGCCTCAAACAAATGTTATGAAATTTATGTACACAATGCTTATTACCACCAAACTCAGATCAAGTACAAATTTGGGTAGCATCACTTTTACTGTTCTTGAGTTATGCCCCTTTATAACGTTATATGCAAGCAGGGGCATCATCTGTGTCCCATGGACACATTCCCCATTTATTTTCCATCTGATAATAATTGTCACATGTATTCTTAATCCCTTTTAGGAATTTCAAAAGGAATTAATATACTCTATGGTTAGTCTGATCTCTAGTCCAAATCATTATGACTTCTTGAAATTATTTAAATTTTTTGCTATGACGCCTTCCTTTAAACTTCCAACTTTATAGGAAGACGTCACTGCAAAAAATTTAAGTACATTTTGTGTACTTACCCTTTCATTTCATAGGAAGGCATCACAGCAGAAAACTTAAAGATGCATAATTATTTGGACTATCTGATATCTGATGATTGTTTTCGAAACTATTTGACCCTCATTTTAAGCATGTTGAGTACTCGGCACTAGCAACAATTACGTTGAAAATGTAACAATAACAAAAAATTGTTGCTATGTTTATTTACTTATTAATTAAATAATGATAATTACTGTTAATAAACAAATATACATGCTTTATCCCATAAAATATTTCATTTGATTTGAGTTGTAAAAACCCATATGATAATATCCTGTTCAGATTTTAATATTTTATTTTTATTTCCACTTACATATATATTCATGTCTTACAAAATATTTTCTGCATGGTCCTGTTGCAAATTAGTATGAGGTTACATAATTATTAGTAATACCATGTACTTAAAAAAAAGCTCAACAAAAACTCCTGACAAAACATAAATTTTATACACATGAGACATAATATGATAAAAATTAAACAACATAATCATCATGATCATGATCATACATTTGTACTTCAGAATTATGACAGTTATTTTTAAGATAGTCCCAATAAGTTGTAAATCAGAAATTGAAATTTCATTTAAAAATTTGCCAAAGGGAGGTAATTTTCACAGATCAAATGTTTGATGAGCTTCAACGTACAACCGCATATAAACTCTGGTTGTTTATTCACTGGTTCATGTATTAAAGCAAACAACTAATTTTTTGTCGAGCCTGCGACTTTTGTCGCAGAAAGCTCGACATAGGGATAGTGATCCGGCGGCGGCGGCGGCTACGGCGGCGGCGGCGTTAGCTAACTTCTTAAAAGCTTTATATTTTAGAAGGTGGAAGGTCTGGATGCTTCATACTTTGTATATGGATGCCTCATGTTACGAAGTTTCCGTCAGTCACATATCCAATGTCCTTGACCTCATTTTCATGGTTCAGTGACTACTTGAAAAAAAAGTTAAGATTTTTTGTAATGTTAGATTCTCTCTTATTATAAGTAATAGGATAACTATATTTGGTATGTGCGTACCTTGCAAGGTCCTCATGCCCGTCAGACAGTTTTCACTTGACCTCGACCTCATTTCATGGATCAGTGAACAAGGTTAAGTTTTGGTGGTCAAGTCCATATCTCAGATACTATAAGCAATAGGTCTAGTATATTCGGTGTATGGAAGGACTGTAAGGTGTACATGTCCAACTGGCAGGTGTCATCTGACCTTGACCTCATTTTCATGGTTCAGTGGTTATAGTGAAGTTTTTGTGTTTTGGTCTGTTTTTCTTATACTGTATGCCATAGGTCTACTATATTTGGTGTATGGAATGATTGTAAGGTGTACATGTCTAGCGGGCAGGTGTCATCTGACCTTGACCTCATTTTCATGGTTCAGTGGTCAAAGTTAAGTTTTTGAGTTTTGGTCTTTTTTTCTAATACTATATGCAATAGTTCAACTATATTTGGTATGTGCGTACCTTGCAAGGTCCTCATGCCCGTCACACAGTTTTCACTTGACCTCGACCTCATTTCATGGATCAATGAACAAGGTTAAGTTTTGGTGGTCAAGTCCATATCTCAGATACTATAAGCAATAGGTCTAGTATATTCGGTGTATGGAAGGACTGGAAGGTGTACATGTCCAACTGGCAGGTGTCATCTGACCTTGACCTCATTTTCATGGTTCAGTGGTTATAGTTAAGTTTTTGTGTTTTAGTCTGTTTTTCTTATACAGTATGCCATAGGTCTACTATATTTGGTGTATGGAATGATTGTAAGGTGTACATGTCTAGCGGGCAGGTGTCATCTGACCTTGACCTCATTTTCATGGTTCAGTGGTCAAAGTTAAGTTTTTGAGTTTTGGTCTTTTTTTCTAATACTATATGCAATAGTTCAACTATATTTGGTATGTGCGTACCTTGCAAGGTCCTCATGCCCGTCACACAGTTTTCACTTGACCTCGACCTCATTTCATGGATCAATGAACAAGGTTAAGTTTTGGTGGTCAAGTCCATATCTCAGATACTATAAGCAATAGGTCAACTATATTTGTTGTATGGAAGGATTGCAAGCTGTAGTACATGTCTGCCTGGCATTGTTCATCTGACCTTGACCTCATTTTCTTGGTTCATTGGTCAATGTTTAGTTTTCTTGGTTAAGTCTGTATCTTAGAAACTATAAACAATAGGTCAACTATATTTAGTGTATTGAATGATTGTAAGGTGTACATGTATTTCTTGTTTGGTTTATATGACCTTGACCTCATTTTCTTGGATCATGTTAAGTGTATGTGATAGTTGTAGTAAAGCTTTATATTTAGGGCTATCAACATAATATCAATGATTAGTAAAGAAGGCGAGACATTTCAGCGTGTGCACTCTTGTTTATTACAACTTAATGAATGTTTAATTAATTGAGCAACTTATGCTTAAAATTATAATTCCATTGGGATTTTCATGCTGTGTTTGACTTGTGTGCATATTTACAATATTTTATATAAAATTGTGGTTCAGTCTGCATTGCATACATTGCAAAGGATCCAAGCTACTGTTGCAGATTGTTGCCATAATTGCATGACTAATAAATGCTTACTTCATCTTTTTTGAAACATACAATGTATGGCCTCATTACCTGAAAAAAACAAAAAAATGAATACAGGAATACAATGTTTTAGGAAACTTCTAAACTATTCAGGATTACTGTATTTCTTGGCATAGCTAAGATCCATTTGTCTGTTTGTTATACTTTTTGCAGTGTTTTATTAACAATGTTTAAATCGACACCATAATTTTTTTAAAGACATTTAATTTATATTTACACATTATATTTATATTTTCAGGCCATTTATTACAACCATGAAAAGAATGAATAAAGTTATTTTATATACTGGTACTTAAAAGAGAATAGATTTGAAAATCAGCTTTTGTTGAAAACCATCAACCAGATTCTGTAACATGGACAGTAGGGGAACTCCATTATCAAACCAGTATGAACTTGATTCATTATGTATCCAGGATAGCTGTGAATTGGACAGCAGCATAACCACAAAATCAAACCAGCATGAACTGGATTCATCAGGTGATAAAGATAATTCAGGTGAGCAGGTGAATACAGGTAAACTCTTCTATTCAGGGGTTATTTTTTATGAAATACAGGTTTTTAGAAAATGTTATTCATTATATTTAAGCATGTTAAAAGACAGATGTTCTCACCCTCCTGCAGTTTTTTCACACTTTTATAGAAATAATCAAATAAGGAAACACATAAACTATTATCGGAAATACCTGATACAGGAATACATGTATGTTTTCAAACTTTAAAAAAAAAATGTTTATATTTAGCATTGCATTTTTTTATACATTTACATACATGTAGATTGATTGATTATTGGTTGGTTATTTTTAACGTCCAGTGCATTTTAATAGATGATTCTTACCTACAAATTTAGGATGAGAAATGATTTTATTTTTTATAAAGATCAGCTGTTACACAAAACTGTACATTTAGCATGTTTATGTTTAATTCAGCATTGCACAGTCGATAAAGATAAACTCATACTGTTAAGTTTTTTTGCCAAAGAATGATCATGGGTTGTAACTTTTAGTACAGTTTTGTCACAAGCTGAAATACATGATGTCTTCATTGAGCCAGTATATCATTTTAACATAATAAAAAAAGCAGATGTGGTATGATTACAAATGAGATAACTCTCCACCAGAGACCAAATCTTAAATTTTGTTACATATTTCTGTATATGATAGAATAAGTAAGCAATCACAACATCTAACATTTGTCTAATGTAGTGATAAAAAGTCTTAAAACTACAAAATGATGGTCTGTTGAACACTTAAACACCCATATTCTTTTTTATTTTGCCTTACCATTTTGTTTTAATGAAATATTTTTCCATTCTGATGTTGTTTAACAGTGTAATTATTGAAGAGCCATCTTTTTGCAGGCATTTTGATTCCGATTATGAATTGTGAGAGGGAAAATGGATCAAATAAACTTTTAAATGATGATACCTGTAATAAAAGACAGACCTTGGATTGTAGTTCTGTTGCTGAAAAAGTGGTTGCAAAGATAAATGAAAGACAATTTTGTGACACAAATATTAAAACAGATGATACCTTTCATCAAAACAATTTAAATGATAAATTCATTAACACCAAAGACAATGTTAAAATAGGTACTTCATTGGAAGCAGGAAGTAAATTACATCACCTATATGACATAAAGGTTAAAGTTGAGAAAGATGAAGAATATCAACCTAAATTATTTGATTGTAGTTCCGAAAATAATTCTGACAATTGCAGTGCAACGACTGAACTCGCGATAAAAATAGAGTGTAATGAATGGACTTTAAATGACAGCGGTGATTACCATGATAAAACAGAAAGTGTAGGGGACATCACAAATAATGTTGTCAAACAAAATCCATTTGAAAAGGCCATCACTGTTGACATAAGCAAAGTTAAACAGGAAGTCAGTGATGGGGGAAGAGCTTCAGATGAGAATCCAATAGACAGGCATACAGTAGAAGAGACAATAAATATAAATGATATCAAGCAGGAAGTTTATGATCAGATAAGTAGATTTAATGAGCAGACACCCTCCTTAAGGGATGGACAGGCAGAAAATGATGCTGTAGCTGATGATGGGGATGAGGGAAGTGAAGAACAAATTCATATGTACATTCAAGGTATAAATTATCATGTTTACAATATACATATTATCATGGTTATAGTTATATTGGGATGCAAAATGCTACATGTATAAATCAGATCATTTTCACTCTTACAGATTCTTTTTTTTTTGCATTCCACCATTTCTATAAAAATAAGAAGATGTGGAAGGATTGCCAATGAGACAACTCTACACCGGAGACCAAATGATGTAGAAGTAAATAACTATACAGCTATAGGTCACCATAAGGCCTTCCACAATGAGCAAAACCCATACCACATAGTAGCCCATTACAGGGTTTTCTCATTTTGTTGATATATTGTATATTCATATAAGAGAAAATCCCAGTTGATATTTTCACATACAGTCAGGGGTAATACTTGTACAATTCATTTTTATTTACTTATAGAAGAAGATTTGTAAGTAGCCTTTTCATCTAAATTTGGGTTTTTAATGTAAAATTAGAATAACAGGTAAAAAACCTTTTGTGAGACCTCGAAATTGAAAGTATTATCCTTTTTCTTTTATTTAACTATCATGACTATTGTTAATCAATAAAAAAAATCACATAAAAAATAATTATGCTTTGGTACTGGCTGTTATCAAAGGGAGACAATTCAATCTCAATCTCAATGTGTTTTAATCACAGGAGAGATAAATCATGTTACATGAGGAGTTATCTCATCAACTATAGTCTTTTTTTTAAAACATCTTCTAGGTATTTAGTTTGCTTACCCATGTTTTATAATTAGTTCCTCACTTTTGAAACGCAAAGTAAACTTCAATAAAAACCCTTAATCAGTCAAGGGTCTAACTTAAATAAGTTATTAGAGAAAAATAACATACAGTCAGGGGTACTACTTGTACAAGTAATTTTTATTTACTTGAAGAAGTAATTATAATATACTTATATAAGTAAATTTGTAGGATACTTATACAAGTGTATTTTATTTACTTGTATAAGTAAATTATTTTTTGGCCTAGTTATGTCCCTTAGGCATTCAGATTTTTTTACTTATACAAGTAAAAAAGTCATCCTATCTTCTTTTCTTGAATTCTTAGAACTTCTTTGCTCTAACAGAATTTTGAATTGTCTGTCCTTTGCAGATGTCTTTACTATTCATTTAAGTGTAATTTCATGGACAATGAAAATCTCATTTGTCTTTTATCTTTAGAACACTGCTCATTTACAAGCCCCCAAGGAGCAATTTTTGAAGGCCTTGCACAAATACTTAAGATCTTTGCTCAATCAGTTTCTTTGTTGAATTAATGAGATGAAACATTGAACTCTTATCAAAAATTATGAGCTAACCTGAGAAAAATTGTTAAAGGCATGATTTTACATCTCAAAACTTGAGAATTTTTGTGGGATTGTAAAAAAAATTTACTTATACAAGTAAATTTTTTAGAAAATTAAGGGGAGATTATTCAAACAATATAATTAACTTGTATAAGTATATTTTATTTACTTCCTCAAGTAAATAAAAATTACTTGTACAAGTAGTACCCCTGACTGACATACATGTGTTATTACAGATACTTTCATGAGTTGTCTGCTCTTTATTTCTTAATCTGTAGTAACATATGTTTGTTATTAGTTAACATATCAAAATATATTTTTATTTTTAGTGGGCTCTTGGGATTTCTTGAAACTTTGCGCAGAAACTTAATGCATAACCTTGATAATTAATTTTCCAATTCAATTAATACATTTTTGATCAACCATGGTAAATCAATGAGACAAGGCTTTTAAGGGATACACTAAGCTGTAATAACATGGCTTAGTTATTACAGGTATGTAACTTATAAAATGAGACACTTGGGAATTACTGGGAAGCTTGCTCAGAACCTCATTACATGCTCTGATCATTATTTCTTACAATGAATTAAAATACATTGTGATATATGTCTGAGAGATGGCTTTGAAGAGATGTAGAAAAGCTGTAATAACACTCTTTAGTTAATACAGGCATATATTTTCTGTAATAACATAGGTGTACTATACATGATTGGCAAATTATAAACAGTTATATCTTTCTAAAGTTTATAAGTATACATAAAGACAATAATAATACCAGTAGAACTTGTATACAATTTAACAAAGTAAAGGATGTATATTGCCTCTTTGAAACATGTAACACACATGTTATCACAGTTTTTTGATATTTTAGCCCACAATAACGACATGTATGTTATTTTTCTCTAATAACTTATTTAAGTTAGACCCTTGACTGTTAATATTTATTTGCTATGTAATCTTTGTGGATTCAAAAAAAAAGATTCATTATAGGGTAATAAGGGTGTGATCAAATAAATAGGTAAGAATAACAATTTAAGACATTGAAACATTCAAAATTCAATTGAGTGTATGAAAGTCTGATTCTTTTTCAATTTATTCTATAGAAAATGTTAAAAGTGACTATGAATTTATTGCAAGAATATTTATTGAAAGAGTACATTTTTATTATTTTGACAACACATTTGTGAAGAGATATTTTGTATTGTTCTTGTATGCCTTGAGGCCATTTATATAGTTGACATTAAAAAATATGCATGGGCGTTAAAAACGAGATGTGTTAAAAAAAATGGCCACTATTAAAGCAAAAGTCCTGACTGGAGACAGGGTGGTGTTATCCGTGAGGAAAGGGTTGTAGGCAAGTGACAATTTTCAAAAAGACGCTTAGTTAACGACTTTAATGCACCCACCTAACATACGGCTATATCATATATCATTCGAAAGCTTATTGCCCAGTCGTCAATAATTCGTACGGTGCAATTTTCGTTAAATCAAGGTCAAAGGTCTAAACTGAGCATTCAAAATGTTTGCTATAATTACACAAAATGCCATTTTCAGGTACTTGTATGGCATTTTATTCCCCAAAATTGATCTATACCTTATAAAACAAATTACCATGATTTCAAATCAAGTGCATTTTGCTTAAATGTTGATTGCGCTATTTTAACAAAAAATTGCATTTCTTGAAAAAACTTCCAAAAATGATAAAATTGCAATAAAATCTAAATGTTTTCTGAAATTTGAATATTTGTATGTCAAAAATAGAATAGATTTATTGTTTATGGACCGAGGGAATTTTTTCATCATTTTAAACTGCAATTAATATGATGTAGGTGCAGATGCAGCCTTCTAATGAAGCTTTTGTAGTTGCCCCAAAAAACACCATCTGCAAATCGGGATCATTTAGCTTTTTTTTTGCTAGATAATATTGCTAATATCGGCAGATAATGATCAACCACATTTAAAAAAAAAGGTTATAGAAGAACTTTAAGGAACAAAAGAAGTATATTTGGTAAAAATTAGTTTCCCAATGTGGAAAGACATGTTACGACTATTATGCTCGTTCAATGTTCGAAAGAAAACTGTCTGCACCATGCGCTTTTCAATGTCAAATCCGGCAAATTCCTTTTAATGATAACCCATTATAATATACTTTGTTAGTTGTTTTAATAAATATGACTGAAAATCAATAATTCAGATTTAATTAAGATCGAATAACCTTCATGAACAACTTTAATCACCATACTGGTTTATGTATTGTTCGAAATTCACACAATTCGGTATAGTGTTTAAAGAAGATTTGTTTGTCTGTCTTACTTTTTCGCCATGGTCATGCTGTCATCTGTTTTTCTTCGACCTTGGTTTGAGACTGCCTCCATATTATTTTATTCCTTCTTTCAATCAAAAAAAAAGAAAACCATAAATTTCAAAGCTGAGCGAAAAAAGACAACAGAACTTAAAACTCAGATATTGATGCAAAAAATAAGTTAGTAAAACAACATAAATTACCGAACTCAAAGTGAAATTTCAAAACAGAAAGTCTCTTATCACATATCAAAACCAAAAGCTGAAACACACCAAACGATTGGAAAACAGTTGTGATAGACCTCGTAGTTCTCTCTCCATATCTATCTATCTTTATATGATATAGCGGAAATGTAGGAATCATCTTGTCCTTACATCCTTTTTTCTTTTGTTCTTTCAATTCACATATCCATATGTTAGTCTCAAAATTGTAATGAGCAATATTCCTTCGACATTGCTTGGCAGAATTATTGAAGTGCAAAGTGCACATATGGAGGTTATACGTGAAGGGATTTGCTTCATAATAGACATATTCAAATAGCGCTAAAACAGTAATCGCTTTAAATTTACCAGAACATACTCATTTGATTGATCTTAATTTTAGTCAGATTGTTTTAACCCATGTATACATAACATTTTGTACGTTATTTTTCATGTCAACTTATATAACTTATTATTGTCGTAAGATCTTCGCACCATTAGAAACTTGAACCAAAAAATATGAACATGATGAAAATAAAGTAAGAAAATCGCAAAAAGTCGCTGTCAGATCAATAACAGAGGGCTCAGTGCACAATAAATATCCACGAACATAATATAAGATCAGATGACATAAAATTAAAACCAATTAAAAAAAACTGGATAAATTCAACCACATTTTTTTCATTTCTCACAATTGTATAGATATTTTAGAATAAAATAACTTCATTTTAACCGTATATATTCTTAATATACATGTACTATCTTTAATATGCCAATGATCAACCAATGCTTAATAGATGATCTACTAAAATAGTAGATCGTGCTCTTTTTTTAAATGCCTAAAATGAAAATATTATGTGGCAAATCTACATTGAAATTCTAATGCAAAATCATGCCCAATTAAATTTGAAATAAAAGTGGTTCAAATGCATTTATATTTTTGTTTCTATTAGGAAACTTTATTTGTAACATTTAGCTGAAGTAAACATCAACATTAACACTGCTGTGTTTGGTTAGAGGTTGCCTACTTTTACAAAAGGTGATCAATGCTGATTGGTATATTTGTGCTGTAACACCTACACAGTAACTTCATCCTTGACACTAGTAGCTATAACTAATGTATTTTTGATGGGGATTGCCAGTTTTCCTTCCGAAGGTCGGTGGTTCCTTGGGGATTCCATGGGCCTAAACCATTTAAAACTGGTCGCCGCAAAATACTTTAGAAGCCAAAAGTGCTAAACCGAAAATTGCGACAAACACCAACAATCAATCAATCATCTTTATATTAAAATGTATTTATATGTAAACTATTCAGGGAGTAAATTTGACTAATGGAAATATATGTATTGTTATTGCGAATTGCTAGATTTCCCAATTCAAAAATTAATGTAATTACATTTGTAAGTATAATTGCGAGGTTATCAATTTATTTACAAGAAATTACGTAGTTGGATAGGATTAAATATATTGGCCAGGCATGAAGAACATTTCAGTCGCTAGCTTATAATAGTTTTCACTTCCTCATTCAATGCAAGATGCAGTATAAGCAACCAAGAAAACATGTAAATATTGAATTATTGAATTATCAAAGTTTCACTCCCAAACTTTTCCCTAAATGCATGAATTTTCTGTGTATTGTATCCTTTAACATTTTTGCACTTTTAAAATTTGTGTTTTTCAACATAATATCGACTACATACAAATTATTTTAACAAACAACAGCTAAAAAAGCTATTTTCTTGCAGATGGCTGTATTTTGGGCAACTGCATGGTTGTTATAATTGGCTGTTTAATTAACAAGAAGCGTAATTGCAGTAATTTAATGATGTCAAAAACATCCTTAGCACTTAATAAAATATGTTATTTGGTTTTATGGTGAATACCAGTTGAATCACAGACATAAAATTTGATTTTCATGCATTTTTGTCATTTTCAATGGAATTTCTGGAAAACAGCACTATTTATTAAAAATCTGACATTAATATTTCAAAGTGCTTTTGATAAGTTACTATTAACATCTGTTCTAACAGATTTCCATATGTCCATACAAAATATCATTATTCAGAAGACAGAATATGCAAACAATGCTGACATCTTGTAAAATTAGAAGTCTGTCCTTGACCTTTCGTTGTGATTTGACAGAAACTGCACCATACAAATTTTTGACAACCGGGCAAAAAAGGTAGTGCAGATGATGTGCTTTCGAATGGTATATGATTTAGCCGTATGTTAGGTGGGTGCATTAAAAATAAAATTTTATGGTTAATTTCACTCGTCTATTGTTAAAACAGGGATAATTCATGTTGACGAAAAAATAGGAGTGCAGAGGAACAGAATACGGAGTGAAGTAGGAGTTTTGGGGAGGGAACTGGGAATCAATCCTCCCTGTTTACCCCCTTACTGATGGTCATATAAGAAAAGGGTTGGGGTCATGAATGTAGAAGGAGCAATTCTGCAGGGGATGCGGACCACAGCTTGTTCTAGTTTGTGAACTGATAAATAAGAAGACGATTAATGCTAATGTAATAGCGCTATCTTAATAAAAGAAAAACAACAATGAAAACAATATATAATGTATTCAATAAGTACAATTTGTATCATGTAGACCAAAAGTAGAGAAATGGAGCATTGAATGACTGCCTTTATTATCCGTTTTAAGAACGCATATGGCAGATGCACTAACCACATAGGGAGATTTTGGAAGAGCACAGCTTCCCATGGTTGGACTGAACGTCAGTCCACAGACAATGACAGACAATTCATCGATTATGATGGAAGATTAAAACCACCTTGACTGGCTATATAAAGCCTTCGCCTAGTCAGCCCTGCATAGCGCCATTTACAGTTTGGTTTTTTTTTTGATCGCCCTGCATACAGTCAAGGATATAACTCTATAGGGTTATTAGAGAAAAATAACATACGCTTGTTATTGTGGACAAAAAAATCAAAGAACTGTGATAACATATGCATGATATGTATGTTACATGTTTCAAAGGGACAATATATATTATTTGTTTTGTTAAAATGTATACAAGTTCTATTGATATTGCTACTGTCTTTGTGTATACTTAACTATAGAAAGATATAACAGTTCATAGTTTGCCAATCATGCATATCACACCTATGTTATTACAGAACAAATATGCCTGTAATAACTAAAGGGTGTTATTATAGCTTCTCTACATCACTTCAAAGCATTTGCTCAGACATAGATCATGCTCAATTACAATGTATTTTAATTTATTGTAAGAAGTAATGATCAGAGCATGTAATGAGGTTCTGTGCAAGCTTCCCAGTAATTCCCAAGTGTCTCATTTAATAAGTTACATGCCTTTAATAACTAAGCCTTGTTATTACAGCTAAGTTAATCACTTAAAAGCCTTGTCTCATTGATTTACCATGGTTAATGAAAAATGTATTAATCTAAATTAATAGTTAGTTATCAAGGCTATGCATTTAGTTTCTGTGCAAAGTTTCAAGAGTTCCCTAGAGCCCACTACAAATAAAAATATTTATGATTTATTTTACAAATAACAAACATATGTTATTACAGATTTAGTAAATTTAAGGATTAAAGAGTAGACAACTCATAAAAGTATCCGTAATAACACATGCAAGTTATTTTCTGTAATAACCCTATAGAGTTATATCCCTGATTGGCATAGCGCTATTTACAGTGTTTTTAAAGAATTTAATTCGATATACACAAATGTAGTAATTCCAAAAAAATTATATTAAATTATTAAGTCTTTCAACGAAGGTTATAAATGATAAGCAAGGATGCAAATACTAAACTTTAGAACCTAAATAAATATCTTTAACAAATGAATTCAAAATAGCAATATCTATTTAATTTAACAAATATGTACTGAATAAGTGTCATGTAAATCGTTAAATATAGAAACACACAATTTCTATTTTTAAACAAGGGAAATAACAATTACATATGATAATCCTATATCTGCCAAATGTTTTTTAGAAACAATTTGTTTTTATAAACAATTACTAATTAGAAAAAAACACACACACTGAAGATAACATGTGTTTTAGTTGCAACAACTTTATTGTTAATAAACAACTGCCAACTTGTATTAGAAACAAACACTGGTTTGGAACAAACTATACACTACGAACCACAACTCGACCAAGTATGTTACTCTTATTTGTTGATAATATAAACAAAAATTGATTTAAAAAAAGTGGTAATATGTAGCAATCAATAAAAATCAGAATGCTGTAGTAAAAATCACCAGGAAATTGATCTGCTTTGCCGCCCGGAGATGCCGATAAGTGAACTTGTACAAAATCATGTTTTCTGCGTAAGTTATGAATTGTCCTTGCCAAATAACAATTAATTTAGGTATCTAACATTGCTAACATATATTGATACCACGATAATACATTGATAATACTGTCTTGTTAAATATACCTTATTGTCAAAGAATGCAGCAATAGTGTTGTCATCGACGGCCAAAGAAAAATCCGTGATGATAAAGCATGCAATTCCGGAAATTGACCGTCTCTGAAAATATTAGATTCTAAAATTGAGTTATCGTCCCTTTCGCGCCAGGCGACTATTGAAAAGGCTATTGTAAGATTTTAATTTCATTTCAAGATTTGAATAATCTCCCCTTGATCTGTTCAGGAGTTATTTTGCATGAAAGCTTTTCCTTTCCATCGCCATGCTTTTGTTGTGAAATTTTCTTTCCTTGATAATGTAGATGCTTTGATGTTACTTTTGTGCTTTGTGTATGAAGTGTACATCTCCCAGCTCATAAGTTGTGCATATGTTTGTAGCCAATTCTTAGATTTTTATAAACAGATGATGAATGTAATATTTCATAACTTATAAACTTTTTCAACATGTATAGAGATACATGTATTGTGTACTAGTGTTGATATGTTTGATTGGACAATTATATCATATTTTTTAGCTCAGGGGGTAAAGTTCTTGTTGATTTTTTGCACTTTCAAAATCCAAACCAACAAAAAATCAGTACCAAATAAATACTTATGGATTTTATATGTTGTCTATAGAACACATGTGACATTTTGTCCCTTATGTTATTTTTTGTCCATCTAGCATGTCTTGTATGATCTACAATGTTATAGGGTTTACATGACCATAGTATTCTTATTTCATTGACCAACATTAAGTCAACTTGATGTAAGACCATCATTACATTTATTTTATTCAATCGTCATGGTCATATTAAAATCAATGGACAAGTATTAGTAGACATTTCAGTTTGTAAACATTTTAACTGTTTACTATTTGTTTTTCAGACAATAGTCCATGGAAGGACCAATTTCCAAAGATTGGGAAGGTGGATAAGAAGATGGTAGGATGTGAAGTTTGTCACAAATTATTCAGTGCAAAATATATCTCCATACATCGAAAAATACACAAAGATGACATGTATATGTGTAGCTATTGTGGAAAGGGGTTTAAGATAAAGGGCAGTTTAAACTGTCATGTAAAAATACACACGGGTGAAAATCCTTACAAATGTGATCAGTGTGGTAAAGCATACAGACGGTCAGACCTTCTCAAGTCACACATGATTCAACATACGGGTTACTTACCACATAAATGTGATGTCTGTGGGAAATGCTTCACATTGAAAAGTAGACTAAAAAGACATCTTATAATACATTCTGATGAGAAACCATTTAAATGTAGCGTGTGTAACCAGGGTTTTACACAACGACATCACATGACCGAGCACATGATTACACACACTGGGGTCAAAAAGTTCTGTTGTAACTTATGCGGGAAAAATTTTGGGATAAAAAGTACACTAACTAAACATCTTAGAATACACGATGATGATAGACAATATAAATGTCGAATATGTGGTAAAGGTTTCATAACTAGTTTTAATTTGAAAGTACACGAAAGAATTCATAGCGGGGAAAAACCATATAGTTGTGTCGTCTGCTATAAAAGATTTGCCAACAGTTGCCACTTAAATGAACATCTTACTGTTCATACCAAAGAAAAACGCCATCGATGTCAGGAATGTGGCAAGTCATTTTCAACTTCGTCAAAAGTTACACGACATATGTTAACACATACTGGTCAAAAGCCTTTTATTTGTCACATTTGCGGTGGCAGGTACAGTCAGAAAGGTCACTTGACAGAACATGAACGAACTCATACCAATGATTACCCTTATAGATGTAGTAAATGCGATCAAGGATTTGTGTCAAAAAGTAAACTAGAGGCTCATGATATGAAACATTTAACTTCAAGTGCATACAAGTGTACAATTTGTGGAGATATTTTCAGTACTAAAGACGAAAAATTGATTCACATGAGAAAAGACCATGAAGATGAATATAGATTTGGCTGTAATCAATGCCTAGAAGTTTATAGACAAGAAAAACAATTTGAACAACATATGAGATCACATTTAGGAATTAAACCTTACAAATGTGAAATCTGCAACAAGCACTTCACACAGACAAGTAGCTTAAACCTCCATTTGAAAATACACACAGGAGAGAAAAAGTTTTCTTGTGAAATATGTGATAAACTATTTAGGACTAAACATGGTTTAAGAAAACATTCCCTGACCCACACAAGGGTCAAAGACCCTGGAGAAGAATGTGAAACGTGTGGTTTAATGTTCAGAAATGAACAAGCTTTACAATGTCATATGCACATCCATAGTAAAGATTATGTTAACTCTACCATATCTATACTTAAATAACAAATTTCTGAGGAGAAAGTCAATAGCCAAAAAATATTTCTTTCCAGGAAAAATCACATGGCAATAATACTGACCTTAAGTATGGGTAATTTTTTATAAATGCATACTTTTGTTGTTGTTTTATGATATGGTATGGGTGTCATTGTAGTCATGGGGAGTTTTGATGTAGTAAATACAGATTAATTTCAAGTTTCCAGAAACCTGATGTGTCTATTTAAATCCATATTTATAGTACATGTATTATTGGTACATCTTTATTATCATATTTCGTCTGCAGTCACAATTAATTTTTTAAGCTTAATATTACTTCCTGGCAACTAAAGTCTATTCAAGAAATATTTTAATTTTATACTAATCTTCATACTGGTACACAAAAGGTACCTTTGGAAAAGCATTACTTACATGAATTATGTGTTTGGCAAACCCAAGTAATTTAAAATTTCAAATCTATTTAATTTGAAATTTATAGACAAAGTTGAGCAAAGTTAACCATGTTAATATTACATAAAAGGATAAATCAAAGAAATTTCAAAGGTAGAATGAAGCAATTAAGAATCACAGTTTTCTGTTCCCAATTTTTATACGACCGCAAAAAAATTTTTGCGATCGTATATTGGTATGATGTTGGCGTCGTCTTTGTCTCCGGCGGCGTCGTCGTCGTCCGAAGACACACTGGTTTTCGCACTCTAACTTTAGTTTAAGTGAATGGATCTCTATGAAATTTGAACATAAGGTTCAATACCACAAAAGGAAGGTTAGGATTGATTTTGGGGTTATGGTACCAACAGTTAAGGAATTAGGGGCCAAAAAGGGGCCAAAAATAAGCATTTTTGTAACTTCCAGACACAACTTGTGTGTTAGTGTATGGATCTCTCTGACATTGTACCACAAGGTTCCATATCACAAAGGGAATGCTGGGATTGATTTTGGGGGTAATTGCCTCAAAATTTTAGGAATAAGGGGCCATAAAAGGGGCAAAAAACAAGCATTTTTATATGGACAAATACTTTAGTACAAAACATAATTTAAAGCAGTGTAAGGGAGATAAATCAAATACATCATTTAAATTACCTCCCTTACACTGCTTTTAAACTATGTATAAAGTAATGGTTAATGAACAATTAAGGTAGATAGGGTGTCTTCCTCCATCTTGGATTTGAAATACCAGAAAATAATCAGTCTAGACCTTTAATAAAATGTGCAAATTTTGAGAGTAGTGGGTAATTCATGTGTAAGAATTTACATTTTAATATAGAAAATGACATGTTTAATTATATTTATGGTTGTATTTTACAAAAAAACAGAATACTTTTGTTTGATTCAATTTTTTCCAACTTTGCCACATAAGGGGAGGCAACTCAAATGTAAGGGCAGATAATTCAAATATTGTTACTTTTACAATAGAATGTGTTAGGAATTTATCTATTTTATTATGTAGCAAGAAAACGGGCCCGGTGACCCCATTTTTTCTTTTTCTTATCTGAAAGTATAATATTAGAGCTATTTTCTCATATTTTATCTCAAAATTCTATGGTGCAGTTTTCGTTTTATGGCAGAAAATTGCGTTTTCCATGCATAATCTATAAAAAATCTGTCAATTTTGCACAACCTGTAGCGTGAAAATAAGCCCCGTGACCCATTCTTTTTATTATTTTTTCCAAAAAACCATGATATAAACTACATTTTGGCAAATTATTAAAAAATTCTATGGATTATAATTTAGACACCCCATCTACCTTAAGACAATTTAAAACAGTGTAAGGGAGGTAATCCACATACAACACTTTGATTACTTCCCTTACACTGCTTTTAAATTATGTTTAAAGAAATGCATATTTTTAAAGGAAGACCAGTAAAAATATCTACAAATGTTGCATCTTTTTTTTTTTACAAAAAAATCCATATGAAAGATTTGACACCATATTTTAAATTCTATTATAGAATAAATTAAGTTAGCACTATGGTAAATTTAAATGGGTAATTATGGTTGCAAATTCCATTGGAAATTTGAATTGAGATTATGACCATATCTTGAGGGAAAGAATTGAGGGGGGGGTAAAAAGAAATTGTGGGAGGTCAATTTTTTCTCATTTCAGATTTCAGAAATTAAAAAGAATTATTCTTCAAATATTTTTTTTTTTTCAAATTTCAAGAAGTAATCTTAAATTGCACAGTATGGCGCATTAGATTTGTAAAATCTTTGACCACATTTATTTATTTGTTATGCCAAATCTGACTGTGTATTTAGATTTTTAATTTTGGGTCCAGTTTTCAAATTGGTCTACATTAAGGTCCAAAGGGTCAAAAATTAAACTTAGTTTGATTTTAACAAAAATTGAATATATGGGGTTCTTTGATATGCTGAATCTAAACATGTATTTAGATTTTTGATTTTGGGCCCAGTTTTCAAGTTGGTCCAAATTGGGGTCCAAAATTAAAGTTTGTTTGATTTCAACAAAAATTGAATATATGGGGTTCTTTGATATGCTGAATCTAACCATGTATTTAGATTTTTTATTTGTGGGCCCCACTATCAAATTGGTCCATATTGAGGTCAAAAGGGTCCAAAATAAAACTTTGTTTTATTTCATCAAAAATTGAATTATTGGGGTTCTTTGATATGCCAAATCTAACCGTGTATTTAGATTTTTAATTTTGGGTCCCGTTTTTTAAATTGGTCTACATTAAGGTCCAAAGGGTCCAAAATTAAACTTAGTTTGATTTCAACAAAAATTGAATTCTTGGGGTTCTTTGATATGCTGAATCTAAACATGTGTTTAGATTTTTGATTATGGGTCCAGTTTTCAAGTTTGTCCAAGTTGGGGTCCAAAATTAAACTTTGTTTGATTTCAACAAAAATTGAATATATGGGGTTCTTTGATATGCTGAATCTAACCATGTATTTTGATTTTTGGGCCCCGTTATCAAATTGGCCCACATTGAGGTCCAAAGGGTCCAAAATTAAACTTAGTTTGATTTTAACAAAAATTGAATATATGGGATTCTTTGATATGCTGAATCTAAACATGTATTTAGGTTTTTGATTTCGGGCCCAGTTTTCAAGTTGGTCCAAATTGGGGTCCAAAATTAAACTTTGTTTGATTTCAACAAAAATTGAATATATGGGGTTCTTTGATATGCTGAATCTAACCATGTATTTAGATTTTTTATTTGTGGGCCCTGCTATCAAATTGGTTCATATTGAGGTCAAAAGGGTCCAAAATTAAACTTTGTTTTATTTCATCAAAAATTGAATTATTGGGGTTCTTTGATATGCCAAATCTCACCATGTATTTAGATTTTTAATTTTGGGTCCATTTTTCAAATTGGTCTACATTAAGGTCCAAAGGGTCCAAAATTAAACTTAGTTTGATTTTAACAAAAATTGAATATATGGGGTTCTTTGATATGCTGAATCTAAACATGTATTTAGATTTTTTATTTTGGGCCCAGTTTTCAAGTTGGTCCAAATTGGGGTCCAAAATTAAACTTTGTTCGATTTCAACAAAAATTGAATATATGGGATTCTTTGATATGCTGAATCTAACCATGTATTTAGATTTTTTATTTGTGGGCCCCGCTATCAAATTGGTCCATATTGAGGTCAAAAGGGTCCAAAATTAAACTTTGTTTTATTTCATCAAAAATTGAATTATTGGGGTTCTTTGATATGCCAAATCTAACCGTGTATTTAGATTTTTAATTTTGGGTCCTGTTTTTTAAATTGGTCTACATTAAGGTCCAAAGGGTCCAAAATTAAACTTAGTTTGATTTTAACAAAAATTGAATTCTTGGGGTTCTTTAATATGCTGAATCTAAACATGTGTTTATATTTTTGATTATGGGTCCAGTTTTCAAGTTGGGGTCCAAAATTAAACTTTGTTTGATTTCAACAAAAATTGAATATATGGGGTTCTTTGATATGCTGAATCTAACCATGTATTTTGATTTTTGGGCCCCATTATCAAATTGGTCCACATTGAGGTCAAAAGTGTCAAAATTAAACTTTGTTTGATTTCATCAAAAATTGAATACTTTGGATTCTTTGATATGCTGAATCTAACCATGTATTTAGATTTTGGATATTGGACCATAATAGGTAAATTAAAAAATTTTAAGTTCTTAGACCACATTCATTCTGTGTCAGAAACCTATGCTGTGTCAAATATTTAATCACAATCTAAATTCAGAGCTGTATCAAGCTTGAATGTTGTGTCCATACTTGCCCCAACTGTTCAGGGTTCGACCTCTGCGGTCGTATCAAGCTGCGCTCGGCGGAGCATTTTATTGATTCAGCCATGCTGGATCTATGCGATCACTCCGGATTTGGAGATGGTGCAAAATTCTAAGTTGAAGACATATCATGAAAATAATTTTGTGTTTCTATGACTTGCAAAAACTTTATAGTATAAAGTTTATACACCATTTTAATCATTAACTGCCAACTTTTGACATGTCATTCCTTAGATTAAGCGTGATTAAGAAAAGATTGGTCAACAACTCTTTTATTTTAGATATACACTTGCATATAGTTCCTTTGTATATTTATAATAATTTACTATTTATGAATTAATTTAATCAGTGGAAATGAATTTTGAAAGTATCATAATAGTATCTTATGCTTGTGTAAATAATTGAATAAAATTTGGGTCAAGATGTGTATTGATATATATATATATAAGTTGATTCCCACACTTTTTTGAAATACTATCACTCCAATTCTTTCCTTAGGCAAGTAAGAGTCAGTATGATTATCAACTGTCATGATTTTCAAACAATTATCCTCAAAGGTGAAAGTATTAATTGGAATCAACTCCAGTCTTGATTCACCACAGTTAATATCTCATGACCTGTTACATTATTTAATAGCACAATTTATTACACACCTAACTGAATACACAAATTCTTGACCTCAATAGTAAACCTACAAATGTATTATTTCTTTTGATCTACACTACATTAAATTATTCTGTTAATTTTGTGTGAAAGCTGAATGATTAATCAGCTTTTGTTTTTTTTTTCAAAGAAAAGACAAAAAAATATAAAAAAATGAGCATAAAAAATGCAAGCAGATTTTATTTCACTTGTGAAATCAGTGTCATTATCACCTGACATAGGTCAATAATCAAGTTCTAAGTAATAAACAACTATCAACAATTTGGTTGAAACATCATACAAAAATTTCATAACTCTTACCAGAGCATTTTCTGCAATAAAATTTATTTGTTTATTCTTTATTTATATCTGCTTATATTGCTATTTAACAGCAATTGGAAATATCTCAGCATTAGGTATTTGTACATTTAAATACAGGATATGTATTTTTTTTCTAAATGAAGAATGAACACCACTTTAGATAAAAATTAGTAATTTATGTTTTTATGCCCCCGCCGTAGCAGAGGGGGCATTAAGTTTTACCATTGTCCGTCCATACATACGTCCATCCGTACGTCCGCCCGTACGTCCCAAAGTTGGTTACCGTTCTCTAACTTTAGTTTGCCTCAACCAAATGTTATAAAACTTATACCCATGCTTATTACCACAAAATACAGATCAAGATTAAATTTTGGTGGCGTCACTTTAACCGTTCTAGAGTTATGCCCCTTTACAAATGGAAAAAATTGCTGAATTTTTCGTTTCCGTTTTCTAACTTTAGTTTGCCTCAACCAAATGTTATGAAACTTATACACAATGCTTATTACCACAAAATACAGATCAAGTTTGAATTTTGGTGCAGTCACTTAAATAGTTCTAGAGTTATGCCCGTTTACAAATGGAAAAATTGCTGAATTTTTCTTTTCTGTTCTCTAACTTAAGTTAGCCTCAACCAAATGTTATGAAATTTATACACAATGCTTATTACCACAAAACACAGATTAAGTTTGAATTTTGGTGGTGTCACTTTTACTGTTCTAAAGTTATGCCCCTTTACAAATGGAAAAATTGCTGAATTTTTCCTTTCCGTTCTCTAACTTAAGTTTGCCTCTACCAAATGTTATGAAACTCATACACAATACTTATTACCACAAAACTCAGATCAAGTACAAATTTGGGTAGTGTCACTTTTACCGTTCTTCAGTTATGTCCCTTTATAACTTTATATGATATGCAAGCGGGGGCATCATCTGTGTCACATGGACACATTCCCCATTTATTTTTAATATTTGTTGTTGTTGAGAAAGTGCATTTCTAATGCCTCTTTCTAGAAATTATTAAGCCAATTATTAATGGCAAATAAAAAATATACTACTTTTTTGATGATTACCCTTTCCATTCTTCTCAAAATTATTAAATTGCAAATATTTATAAAAAAAAATATGTTTAAAAAATCAGACGGTGTCTAAAATTGAAATATCAAAATAAATATTTGCATCAATATTGCGAATTCTCCATCTTTGGGCAATAGCATAGAAATTTTACAGTAAGATTATGGAAATGACAAGAGCAAAAAAATATTTAAAGAAGTATAGTCAGAAAAAATATTAGACTAGCTATAAAATTGGCTGGATCACAACATTCACGATGCTTTGATTTTTTGCATGTTGTGATGAGCAGTAAAATTGTATACATGTATATTGTGATCAGATATGATGTTTTTGAAACAATAATATCTGTGTTTTGAATTGTATGTCAAAATCAACATTCGGTATTCTTTACTTATTGATGTATTGTCATATATTTTATCTTTGCATAAGGTGTTGTGCTAATATATATTTATGATTTATTAATATAATAGTTAATTGTTCAGGTATCATTCCTATAAGGCAAGTAGCTTGGAACTTTAAGAAAATTATGGAGCCAAAGACATTAGACATTTGACTTTGTTTTTCTTATTTTTGTTATTGTTTTATTCCAATTTATTAATAACATTGTTTGTTAATTTGTTAATTATTTTATTTATTACCTGTATACATTTCTTATATTGACTAAATGTTTAACATTTAGAGAAAATACAAAATACGTTCAAAATTTTGTTTATAAACTTGTCTGGTCACTGGGCTTGTGCATCATGTGTATGGCTAATATTTTTCATCATCTAGTGGCATCATCCATGCAACTTGAAAACTTTCTATTCATCAGTGACTAATGATGAGACACCAAATCAGTTGATAGAGAATCATATTTGTCTTTCCTCTGACAAAAACTGTTGAAGTGCGACTTGGACATGGTGTTCCTGGTATCAGTGGCACCAACAATTTTGTCCAAGTTTAAGATAAGATTACACAGGCAAAACATATTTATGTATTTTCATATAATTTGATGTTTTCAATTTTTCAAATATTCAGAATTCTGTTTCTATATCTTGACAACACTGCATTACATAAATACCATATTGCATGTACATGTACACTTATATAAAGCCACAGTAGTAATATATACTTTTCAATTACATATTATTAAACCATGAAATTGAAAAAAAATAGTCCCATGTTCATGAAATTCCTCAACATTATTTAGTAAATATGATGTGATTCAGTGAAAAATACTCTTAGTTGAGAATTTTCACAGTGAATGCTTCAATTGTTAATTAATTATGAAATATCTCTATTATTTTTTTTTATTTCTAACTAATTTTCATTGGAAACACACCTTTTTTCACTTACCTTATTTAATGTTGAAAATGGGCAGCTATGATGGTGTTGGTGGCCTATAGTCCACATCGCATTAACACCTTATGACAAATTAAATTTGCTCTAGAGTTAAATGCCAAACTTTAATCACACTTGGCAATGATGATGTATGAAAGGTCTTCGATAAACGTTCTCCATTTGGTTCCGAAAAGCATAATTTCTGGTTGAGCTGGTTAAGATTTTAGTGAAACTGAAAATTAAAAAAAAATACATACTCAGTAAACTTCATTGCAAACTACCGAAGATGGACAAGTTCAACTGTTAGCTATTGTTCACTTGTGATACATGTACCTTGTTATAAATAAACAATATATATACAGGAATTTGATGAATGATGTAAAACTCTGTTAAAAAGCAACACACGGTAGAGTAGAGGTGAAAGATACTAGATGAACTTTCAAGTTCTGTAAGTCGAAAACAAACGCCATTGGCAAAAAAACGATAAAAAGACCAACACCAGAATACAAATCACAACATAGAAAACTATAGACTGAGCAACACGAACCCCACTAAAACTAGTACCGCGGGTGATCTCAGGTGCTATGGAAAAGTACGCATATCCTGCTCCACATGAGGCATCCGTCGTGTTGCTCATGTAAGTCCAAACCCGGTGATAAGTCAACTCGGTAGGTCACATTCGATGAAAAGAGGACGGGGTTGTTGTTACAACAATGAAACATATTCGTCGTCATCTGTGAAACATACTAGTATTCAATATCGGTCAACCAACTCGTGATGGCGTCCGTAAAATTTTCGAAGGGATGATTTCAACTTCACCACTTGAAACTCTTGATTTAATGGCTTCCTTTTGAGCTGCAACCCTTTATCGTCAGAGTCAAGATATAATGGCAGACTTAACTGTATCAGTTGTATCATTTATTTCAAGTTCGATAGGATAGATGAGTACAACATAGTCACCAAACTTTGAATTATTTAGTGAGAGGACATCATCTTTATATTGGAAAGTGAAGTTAAATGATAATGCTAGCTTCTTTTCATTCTTTCTAAGAAGCTCCCGTATGAAGTCAGTCCCATACATAGAGCATGCTCAAAAGAAGTTTAATTTCAAATTTCCGAATGCCTTGATTAGTAGTTTCTGAAAAAGTTTGACAACAGTTACATACATGACCATTATGTGAAAGAATACATGAGTACTTAGTCAATAGGAAGTTGATAAGCGATGAAACTTATCTGGGACATAAAATATTAGTATAATAGTCCCAGATCCAATAATGCAGCTCTGAGTTGATAAGCGATGAATCTGATCTGGGACATAAAATATTAGTATAATATTCCCAGATCCGATAATGCATCTCACAGTAACGCAAGCTTACAAAAAGCGTGATACCAAATGGTTAGGTATGTTTAATTTGCAGTTTTATTTAGATGAACGCGTCCAAAATTTGATGGCCGTTATATGTTACAATATATAAGTATTTGATAAACAGGATATAGATGAGCTTTGGATGTGAAATGCATCACACAATATATTTGATATATTAGTAACATGCTCACATAAAGCTTCACCAATGTGTAAGACTATATAAGTTTGTTTTTTTTTTTTTTGTTAACAGGAGGAAGTAGACAAGCAATTAATCTAAAAAATTAATACATCACACAGTATAACAGGCTCACGTGAAGCTAGATACTAAAGTGGGCGTATGACATTTGCGCCGATTTTAAAAAGTTTCGATCTTTCATTGCGCCGATTGATTCTTTCACTTGCGCCGATTAAGCACAGGTAAATTACAGGTGAATGTTATTTTTTAGTTATCAATATAAAAACCTCTTCCGTTAGCCAGTTGTACATATGTTATAAATTGTCAATTATAACATGTATACAACTGTTGTCCCCTGCAAATAGATTGTTGTCGTTTTCATCTGGCACATAAACTGGTGGAGGAAAATCCAGTCTGTTGGTTATGTATACATTTTTAAACGGAATATAAAGACAAATCAAGTGACACTGGTAAATGGCTATCTCAATTTTTGGGCTATCATTCCTCCCCCAGAGGAAATCGAGGACTGCTTCACGTTTAACATTAGGTCTGAAGCTCCTTCTGATGACAGATGTCATGCATTCTTTGACTACGTATTTTTAAAGTATTTATATATGCTTAACTTCACGTTATTCGCCTTATTTCTTGGCAGCTACACCCGTTAAAAATTGTAAGAGGACGAATAACAGTCCTGAATCGTTTCATTCGCATAAATTGACTTCTATTGCTTGAAATCCTTATTTCACCTCCCAGTGTTGAACAGGGGACAACAGCTATATACATGTTATAATTGTAAACAGAAGAGATTTATAATGATAAATAAGAAATAAGAATTAACATTCAATTGTAATCTACCTACACAATCGGCGCAAATGAAAGAAAAAATCGGCGCAAATGAAATGCAAATCGGCGCAAATGCAAAAGTTCTGATTACAATATCTATATTTGTAGTTCCAGAAAAAACGCACCCAACATTGTATGGGACGAACGGATTGAAACACGAACAGACGTTTACCAGTATACACCCTCCTTCGTAGCAGGGGTATACAAAGTAAGATAGTTGTTCTGTAAGTTTTGAATTAACCATGTTAACCGAACAGTTTAAGAATTAAATAAATTTTAAAACAATCAAAAATAGTTTGGAAACAATTCCATTTTAAGACTAGACTAAATGCACTCTTTTTTTCTGTTGTTGTTCATCTCAGAATTTGACTACTTCTGCCTCTATTAATTTTCCATGGCGATGCAACGTAATGTGTCAAATAACTAGTTTTGAAAAAGTATTTTCTCCTTTATTGTGGTTTTTTTTTTTACGATTAGTTTTTCATTATAATGAATATATCATTTATTCCATAGTCATTTGTCAAATAAAATACAAACAGCAGCATTGTAGGTCATATACTTATGCATGTTATGCACCCTTTGCTTTCCTTTTAATTTTTTTAATTATAAATAGAAACATGTTTTTTTTTTAATCTGAAAGTTATAGTTACATGAGAAATACAAAAACCAGTTTCTAAAAATGAACATTGAGTGTATCATGTTTACAGTGACAAACAGAGCATTCAAATCATTTAAACAAAGTTGCATGTAGTATTTAGATTGAGAAGACCGAAAGTAGGAGTTGCGCAGTTGTGACTGCCTGATTGTTAGCAAAAACTAAGTAAAATTTGGCACTTTGCTGTACATAGCAATAGGCCATTGTCGACGCTTGTTTGCTATGTTTGATGGACAATAGGATTTAATTTACACACAACTCTAGTTTATAATCGGATCTAGGCGTTTATGTTTACATAACTTGTTAGTATTGCTGTGTATAAGAATTAGAAAGTGAAAGTAGAAGAATTTGATTGTGAAATATGAAAAATGCCGTATCAAGACATTCGAAAGTATTTTGAAAGTCATGTAAAACTTATCACCCTTGTTGTATTTGTTATTAACGTATTAACTCTAATAATTGTTTTGATAATTCTATGGGCTATGCCAGAACCATCAACCCCTGTAGAGAATTGTGGATACATGTGCCTTAAAATGGAAATGACTTCAGACTATATGAAATGTGGTTGTAGAGCTGAAATATTACAAGAATACACACACAAGGTAAACATTTCTTAATATTTTATCTTAGGTTTTTTAACCGGGAAGTGTTAAAATTTATAGTATTAATGTTTGACCTATTTTCATATACCCCGTTATACTCGACAGATAATTTATTTGACAATCGTTTATTATATATATTAACATATAAACCCAAAGTAGTGGAATTAATTTTTAAAATAATTAAAGTATATTAATTTTCTGAATGAAAAAAAAATCTTATCTTTTTATCAAGTATGTCATAAGCATACTTTAAATTCTCAATAACAATTGAACAACGATGCAGATCTTTTAATTAGATTAATTATACGATATAGAGTCACTGTGTGAAATTACAGAGCCCTATTGGTCTCATACAGATAAATATTTGTGGTTAAAGTCCAGCGATCAACATGCATAAAGTCAATCGCTGTAGATTTAAAGTCAAGCGCTGGAGATGTAGTACAGCGCTGGAGATGTATGCAACGTCCAGCTCTGGTGATGTAAAGTCCAGTAGATTGTAGATGCAAATACCAGCGTTAGTGATGTAAAACTCCAGCGCTGAAGATGTAAAGTCTACCGCTTGAGATGTGAAGCCCAGCGCTGTAGATATAAAGTACAGCGATGGAGACGTTAAGTCGAGCGCTAGACTTACTTTACATTTTAAGCGCGGAGTGTACATCTTTAGCGCTTGACTTTATATCTACATATATGGATATTATATATATCTCTAGCGATAAGATTTTTAATATCTTTATACCGCTAGAACTTACATTTGCAACGCTAGAGTTTACATCTTCAGCGCTTGACTTTAGATCTTCAGCACTGGTCTCTGTATCTGTATGAGACAAACAGGGCTCCGTATAAGATAATACAGTATTGTTTATTTATGTTTGTAACATATTCTTATCAATTTATGTAGTAAATTGTATTTCATACAGACTTTCGATGAAAAATTCATGACTGTATCAAAAGAATACAAAGATATGTTCAAGAGTTCTACAGGTAATAACCATAATAACTACATTTACATAATTGTCTACGTTATTGTTAGAAATACATACAAAGGATGATTTGATTATTCTCCCACTTACATTAATCTTGTAAATAAAATTGAGAATGGAAATGGGGAATGTGTCAAAGAGACAACAACCTGACCAAAGTGCAGAAAATAGCCCAAGGCCACCAATGGGCCTTCAACACAGCGAGAAAATTCCGCACCCGGAGGCGGGCTTCAACTGGCCCCTAAACAAAAATGTGTACTTGTTCAGTGAAAATGGACGTCACACTAAACCTCGAAACATATAAATGAACTAGATTTAAAAAAAAAACTAAATATCTTGATGGTAAAATAATCGTTGACTCCGTTCATCTATCCATTTGATATCCTCAATTCTAGATTGTAAGCAAAAGTCCGAGACTGAAACTTTAAGAAAACCTTCAGTACCCAATGACATTGTTCATTTTTATTTTCTTATTAACGGTTTCCAATAACAACAAAATGAAAAGTTTATATTCATTTAATTTAGAAAGGAAACTGTCGAATGCATTCGGGAACTCTGTAGAAGTTTACAGTATAAGTTTGAGTACAACTATAGAGAGGGGAATGGGACTAACTTTTTCTTATGTAATTGTATATAGAAATTATTTACTGAAATTATAGAAATGTAAAAATGATGCAAAATTCAATGACAAAACTACAAATTTTATTTTTGCTTTAATATAATGTACACAATTCCTTTTCGTTTGTCCCTATATATATATAGATATGGAAAGTCCATATTTTAATTTACTTCCCTTAATTCAATCTATTAAGGAGAAAATGCATATACAAACACTACAAAAGTCTAAAAGTCTGAAAAGACCAGTTTTTGTCTTAATTTGCATGAACTTTTACTCGACATTCTCCAAAAGTATGACTTGTGTCTTAATTTTTCTTGACAAATTCTCATTTATATTAAATTTGTATGAAATTTACTCGACATATTCTCGACATTCTGAATATGGTCTTAAAATTTCTTGACAAATTCTTGACATTTGAATACTGTCTTGAAATTTCTCGACATATTCTCGACATTCTTATTTTTTCTCAGTATGGCTTGACATATTCTGAACATTTTAAATCGTGTCTTAAATTTACTTGACAGTTCTGAGTTTTACAAATCATGACCAATATTCATGATATAACTTTAATCTTTATTTCTCTTTATATGATATACTGTTGTTTCAAGTTACACTTCTTTACAACAAAAATAAAAGCTGGGCATGTAAAATAATTGAAAATTTGGGTATATAAATATTTTTACAAATGCAAATATGGCTATGAAATCTAAAGTATAAAATAATTCAAATGTGGGTGTGTTGATATAAAACAATTTCAATGTGGGTTTTTAAATAATTACAAATTTTGATTCCTAAATCTTATAAATTAAATGATTCAAACCAATCATACTGTAGGCATATTTCATTCTACATTCATAATATTCAATGTTGATATGGTAAATAATTATTATTCCAAAATGTGGTTTATATAAATAGCAAATTATGATGATATACAAATCATTCATTTAACAGAAGAAAAATTTGTGTAATGTCATCTGTTGGAATATATTAAGTATTACACATGGACAGGATGTTCCCCATAAAATTAAGGTATTCCACACCCAAGCGTACACGCAACTGTCAAATAGAAGTTATTGCTTTACCTGTAATCAGCCATACAACTTATCAGTTGACTGACCATGCCACTACAATTTAAAAAGTTTGTTGATAGATGAAAATGAAAATCATCATTTTGATGAAAAAAAATTGAATTGAAATGGATTTTCTTCATCAAAATTATGAAGTTAATTATTTTAACATAAAAACAAATTGAATAATTCCCAAAGATTAAAAGAAAATTATTATCTACTCCAGGAATAATAAAAAAAATGTATTTATAATGGGTCCCATCAATGATTTCTATAGAAATCATCGGTCTTATGAAATGGTTCTCAAACAGACATGCCTAATATAGATCTAAACATTTTTTTCTTTTCAGGAAGGAGTTATCACAAATATTTATTTTTGATAAAAAAATTATAAAATTCAACACTCAAATTTGAATAAAAAATGTTTTTGGGTTGTTCTAAAAAATGAATAAGGTTTTTGAATCAAGACGGGAACAAATTCTTTGACCTAAACGAAAGGCCCCCCCCCCCTCTTTTTTAGCCACACAAACCCAAAAGATGAATTGTGGGGTCCAAAAGAGATACAAGACACCTATTTTAGAAAAGCAAATTTGACTGGCAGTTTTGCGAACTGCAAAAATCTAAAAAATTTAGTTTAGCCATAATAAAAAGGAGTATATAACAGCAATAGAATGTCATAAACAGTGCAGAATAAGTCTGTTCACATTTCAGGCGAAATTTATACTGTTGAGATAGTGTCAAGACATATTTAGGACTGTCAAGAATGTGTCGAGACATATTCAGACATTATTTAGAATGTCAAGAATATGTCGAGATATATTCAGACATTATTAAGAATGTCAAGAATATGTCAAGACAGATCGAGACAAATTTAAGACAGTCAAGAATTGGTCGAGACTAATCCAGACTCTTATCAGATGATACAGGAAGTGTCGAGAAATTTTAAGACAATGTTCATACTGTCAAGACACTTGTCAAGAAAAATCAAGAACCTTATTAGACAAATTCATACTATGTCAAGAATTTTTAAAAATTATTCAGACAAATTAAGAATGTCGAGTAAAAATTCATGCAAATTCAGACAAAAACTGGTCTTTTCAGACTTTTTGACTTTTGTAGTGAAAACACCTAGCATTTTTAAGAAAAAGCAAAATCCACGTTTTATCAAAAGGTTACCGTACCTCAATAAAACATTTAGTCAAAATGTGCACATTCCAATTACAGATACCACATACGTCTCTGACAGTATCCATGTATCGTTAAAATCAAGTCGTTGGTGAAGGAGACTGAAGTTGATACAAAGACGGATCCATGCATATACCCCCACTTTAGAAATAAAGAAAAAATCCAAGTTTGCTTTATTCGCAACGATTTATTTTCGCGGTTTTTTTTCTGCTCGCAAAAGTCGCGTCAATAAAATGCACACGAAAATTGATACTGTATCTATAAACATAATTCATATGCGTGTATATACTTTTTAGTCAAAGTGTATGAAGGTTACATTGGAGATGTAAAACCTGTAGCCCATTTGATTGGTGAAGAAAGAGATAAGCCAACAAAAGGTAACGCTCAGCATTCTTATCATACAGATACAAACAACAACAAAAAAAAATACCCACGGATAGAATTGGCCACAAACTATGAATTGTATTGCTTTACTTCAACTATTTGTTTTCTTCTTCTAATGTTTGCTAATTTCAAAAAGATGTTATCATTTTAGAGGAAAAAATATTGCCATCAACCTACCCACACTTAAGTCAATATAGTTCGGGTAAAAAAGGAATACACAATTGAAAAGAATTGTCTAATCAAAAGAAAAGTCTATTCAAAATGCTTAAAGGGATAACAGAAGTAAACCCCCCTCAATTGTGTACAGTATAGTAAACACCAATTACACAAACCCGGCGCCTCCGAAAAATTCCATCGATGTAAACTTTATGACTCTTCTAAATGTCTTGATTATTTTTGTCGTTTGGCTGCTGTCTCAAAGACGTACAAGTCACATCTCCTTTTATTCGTACATACAGACATACTCAAACTACAGCGCATGACAAATATAGCTTGACTAGTACATGCAGTTGTGTTAAACGACTTGTACATAGTAGATTTACGTGTAGCACAACGTCGACCATTTCACAAAATATCTTACGAAAAAAAAATACTCGCAAGTCATGAACATTTCAATATAATTTACGATCATTTTTGTTGTCGTAAGATATTTTGTGAAAAGAACTCATATGGGATAAATGAGGATTATGTATATCAAAAATACTAAATATTATAGATTGTTATAAAAGATTAATTTTTATGACTTAGAATCAAATTCGGCGACCAATTCGTACATGTATAAATAATGCTTGTGTTTTTTTTTTTAAGTTGAAACTATTCAAATAGTTAAAATAATTGAGGATCGTTTGTTATTTATGTGGTTAAACAACTGTCAAATCTTGTCAATTTAAATTCGATCAGTACAATGGTTAATTATGCATAGGAATGTGTAACAAGTACAATGGCTAATTATACATAGGAATGTGTAACATATATGGTCATATATAACGCATTGAATTTTTTAACGCTATACATTCAGAACATTTCTTCATTTATATGAATGAATTAATATCTAAATATTAAAGTGCAACCTAAGTTATAACAAACAATTATATTCAATTATCGCACCTCGGATAAATTATGACGTTATGATTCAATTTGGTTTAAGGTTGATTCATGATATACCGCCGTCTTGGATTGTACAATCGCAGTACAAAATTGGTCTAGTTATTTGCTCAATTCTGCAAATTTGGAGACAGATTTGCAATTTATTGGTTAGACTTTTATTAATATAAAGACAACTAGGCGATTTATAGTATTATACAAAATATTTAAACAAATATCAAATTTTGTGATTTTAGAATCAATTTTTTCAAATAAGCCAATTAAGGGGAGATAACTCTTTTAGTAAAAAAATATATCCTGGACTGATAGGGAAATTTTTAATTTTTACTTGTAGCAACAAAACAAGTTCGGTGACACCATATTTTCATATTATTTTTTTTTAAAACATTATAAGACCTATCTTCTCACAATTTATTAAAAATTCTATCTCATAGATTTCTTTTTATGCACACAAATGTGTTTTTTCATGAACAATCTAACCAAATTTAGGCAATTTTCAACGACTCATAGCTTGGAAAATAGCACGGTGACCCATACTTTTTATTATATTTTTGAAAAAAGCATAGTAAAACTTTCATTTTTGCAAAGTATAAGAAAATTCTGTCTCAAAAAATATATACTTATGTCAATATGATCTACCTTAACGCCGTCACGTGGTGACTCCATATGGATCCGTATTGGGTCAGTAGATTTCATATGGGGTTCATGACGTCACATTCACTATTAATGGTGACGTCATTTATTAATGTTATAGTATTTCATTGCTTATTTTTATACATAACTTAGCAGGAAAAGTCCCGTGTGCGATAAATTTGTTATACGGTTCACCACTGACCCCCTAAGGACCCATAGAGGGCGAGTAAAATCCATAGGAGATTCGGCATTCGGCCTCATCCCCTATGGATTTTACTAACCCTCTATGGATCCGTATGGGGTCAGTAGCAAACCATATACCAGTAATTATCAGCCATCCAAATAGACATGTGTATGATGCACTGTCATGATATGATACGCATTATGTTTTCATTATTGAAAAAAATATAAATAAATAGAGTTCAAATTTAGACGAAAATATAGTACGGCATGATATCAATTGACCATATTATGGCATAGATTTATTTTTAGATGACACAAAAAAGGAGATATTACCGGTCAAGAAATGGTACAGAGGAAACAACTGCCTTTTGTTAAACGGTGTAAAACTACACAGAGGGCGGGTTCGTGTCCCGGTCAGTGGTTTTTATCATGTGTACAGTGCTATTGAATTTAACTATCAGTTAATACGGGACACTGAGCACAACACAATTGAAGTACATTCTAAGAATCCGAACATGAAACATGCAATATACAAATCAAACATAAAAAATTCCAAGAAAGAGGACGAGATAATGTGCACACAACATCCGTATGAAAGTTCGAAGAATCTTATTTTCTCAAGATATGATACATACATCAGTGGTGATATTTATTTGGAAGCAGGAGATGAAATTTACGTCAAAGTGGCAAACATATCTTATGTTTTAAGTCCACCCAAAAATATATTTGGGGTACTTTTAATCTGATATCAGTGCAAACCATTTGTAACGTTTTTAGGTTGTTAAACTAACTCAAAGGACTTTTTCATTAATAACAGTTTCTGTTGCTTTTTAATCTGCTATGTTATTGGTTTTAAAAAAAATATATACGGGTTGACTTTTAATATAAAACATTAAAAAAAAGGAGTATTTTCCATAAACAAAATGAAGCAAAAATATTTCCAATGATTGTCTTTGATCATCAAGTTCGTTGTTATTACCATTCTCAAGTTTGATAACATCAAGCGATAATATCGGGTACTTTTTTTCTTGCAGCTGTTTTTGTGTCGTATATATGTTTTTCAATGAAGTATTTTGTGCCATTTTTTCTGTATATGAAAATAACACTTTATGAATTTCGTGCGTTCGAAGCGTTTCTTTTAAATTTACCTTCACCAGGAACTCTCAAACGTGAAAATGTAAAATCCAGGGATGAATAAATAAGTAGAAACATTAAGAGCTACAGATATAACCATAAAGGAACCTATAAAGAAGAGCAATATTTAACGAGTTGGCATCTTTGTTTCCTTAAGTCATATATTATTCCACGGTACATGTTTGTGCTTTTTCACCTGTAATGCGAGAGGACATTTGCGCTCCAAACTCTATGGACGTTTGCGCTTTAAACTTTGATACACCTGTATTAAATTGACAGGACATTTGCGCTTTTACCTCTAAAATGTTAATGAGTTTTCATTGTTACGCAAATTAAGATCAGCTGATATTTGTACCATTTAAACGAGTTAAGCGCGGAAACTAAATTCCTCTTGTGTTAATTCTTTTGCATAGTAAGTCCGAGGAAATCTAACATCGTTGTTTATGTAAGCTTATTTCAATTTTTGGAGATCAAAATGATTTTCCTACCAATGACTGTTTCTACATATTTACATCCCTGGCTTTCAAATGTTTGGGTTTGAGTATTTCCGAGGAAGGTGAAGCCAGAAAAAACACTTCGGACACAAGAAATTCTAAAAGTTATCTTCGTTTACAGTTCATTATGAATTTGAAGAAAAGTGTCATGGTTTTGTTATTAGGAATTTATTTTTATTCAACACGAGCATGGTGGCGAAAGATTCAGTCATTATGACTCTCTTAGGAATAGTCTATAGAAATTAAACATGTGAAGGAAAATGGTTCCATACATTTCTTCCAGCTTGGGTTAATGAGGACGAAAATCATAAAGCACATCACTTAAATGGCTAATGTCCTATAAAAAAAAGCGCAAATGTCCTATAAAAAAGCACAAACGTCCAACGTATTCCACTGAAGTCTATCCTAAAGGAGGAGGTTGAGTACTGAAAAAATATTTCGACCAGCCATATGTTTATGTGTCAGTCCAATGTAAGAAACCTTCCCAATGGTTATCCTCCTTTATAACATATCTTTCTTAAATTCTCAAATTTCTAAATTATTCAGAAACTTAGGTCCAACTCTTTTAGGAAAATTTGACCTTAGATGACGCTATTTTATCATTCTCTTTATGTCCGTTTTGGTCATCCAATGCACTTTCCGACACAAAAATAAAACAGATTGAATAATACATGATTTCATATTCAAAAGGCAAGGTTACGCTGTTCATCATAGATCAAAGGCTCTACTTTTAAAATATAATAGCTCACTCAAGGTCAAGTTAAATAGTTGTTTGAATCGACAAATATAAGTCTTGGTTGCGATTTGCTTTGCACACCATTTCCTTTTATGTCAAATGTATGTTGATAATAATAAGTATCCTGTCAATATATTGAACGACATTATGTTCTCTGGGGAGAAACCATTTTGATTTTCTTAAGGGCGGAGGTGGAAACTCTTATTCTGCATTTTTTCACTGCATAAACAGAAAATAAAAGCGCTGTTCCTTTGATATTTGGTTTTTTTTTTTTTTTTTTTTTTTTTTTTTTTTGCTGTGCATGTTCAGATTTTGTGTCATGCCGGGATGGATACCCCATATCCTTTGGTTTTTTCTATTATATTTACGGAGTTTGTCTCTCGTGCTGTGTGGAGGCCGTACAAAGTTTCCCCGTGCTTGATAGGTATGTTCTTCTGTATTTTTAAAGTTATGGTGTTTTTATTCTTGAGATAACTTCTCTTATGTGTGCCACATCATTCTTTAAATTTTAGGCCAGTTTGTTTACTAAAACTTTTACAAGACGCACACCACCTATATATATATGGCCGTCATTCCTATCCATCACGTCAAATTTTTCACTTCCAAACGTTTTATGGGGGCGGGATCAATGTACCGGTATTTATACATCAGACCGTACTGGCTACCTGAATTTTCGGATACAACATATGCCCTCAATTTTAGAATTCATTCATACATTTTTGTATTATTCAAAATTATCAGTCACTATATGTTCTACCAGGATCCTCAGTCCTTCATCTTTCATCTGATACCTTAATTACTAATATATATTCTTCATAGCTTTATATTTACACCGGCCTATGCGTTACAAAGTCTATCCAAATTATT